CAGCCTACCCAGGACCGCCCATTTCCAATTCCTTAATAGGGCTTGAGCTTCCTCCTGCAACGGGGCCGTGCATCGAGGACCCCTGCCCAGCTTCACCACTCAGCCACTCCAAGAGTGTATGTATTTTCTTCCTCTCTTCTTTGTTTCCTCCTAAGAATCTCTTATAAAGTTTTTTTACCCCCTTAGAATAACTTCAGTGTCCTTTGGAGCAGAAAGCTCCCCTCATGTGTCTGCCAAACGGCCAGGGTCACTTGGGTTTGAAGTATCTTTAGTGACTCCAGGATCCCTGGACCAAGACTTCTTACTCCCCTCCAGTTGTGTGTAGATTCTCCTCTGACTCTCAGGTGGATTGGGGCAGGGTGGGGGGCATGTCTGGCATGAGGACCAGGCAGGAGGGCTCTGCCATCACCCACTCTTGGCTGCCATGGTAGGGGGGCTACTGGGTTCCTTAAAGAGCAGATGCTAGTAGATGCTTACCTTGACATAAATGCTCATCCAGATATAATTACAGTATCTTGAGCCTCTCACCCTTGAAGTGTTTTTGCATGTCTCTTATTTCTTTCTTTAAAAAAAAAAAATTTATTTATTTGGCTGTTCCAGGTCTTAGTTGTGGCACATGGGGTCTTCATTCTTTGTTGAGGCATGTGGGATCTAGTTCCCTGACCAGAGATTGAACCCCAGACCCCTATATTGGGAGCATGGAGTCTTAGCCACTGGACCACCAGGGAGGTCCTTTGTCTCTGTCGTTTCTAAGTATTCTGAAGTTGCTGCAGATTAATTGGATTGCTTGGTTTTTTGGGGTGGGGGAGCTAAAAGCAAAGGTAACTTTATTGGGGAAGCCAGCAGTCTTGGGGAGAAGCTGGACTCCTGTTCCAAAGAACCATATCCCCATTTGCTGGTCAGGGAGCAAGAGATTTTAAAGGGGAAGTTCCAGGAATGCACCGGAGGAGGGGCAGCTACGTACCGAGGGGCACAGTCACCATGAAATGCTTGCGTGGTGGTCTGATCAGTGTCGCCATGACTGCTTTGAGTACAGTTAATTTTCAATTCCAGGGTCAGTTTGTTCCCATTTCCTTGAGGTAAACTCTCAAGATTGTGTAAGATGGAGCAACTTATGTCGTGGCTAAAGTCTGGTCATGATTTAGTCATGACCAATTACTTGTAGATTCTCCTCTGACTCTCAGGTGGATTGGGGCAGGGTGGGGGGCATATCTGGCGTGAGGACCAGGCAGGAGGGCTCTGCCATCACCCACTCTTGGCTGCCATGGTAGGGGGGCTACTGGGTTCCTTAAAGAGCAGATGCTAGTAGATGCTTACCTTGACATGAATGCCCATCCAGGTACAATTACATCTGGATGTACAATGTACATCTTCCATCTGGTGGGGGCTCCAGTATTAAAGGATATGGCTCAGATTATGATCTGTGGCCCTTGCACGCGTGCACGCTAAGTCGCTTCAGTCGTGTCCAACTCTTTGCGACCCTGTGGAGCGTAGCCCACCAGGCGCCCCTGTCCAAGTGATTCTGCAGACAAGGATACTGGAGTGGGTTGCTGTGTCCTCCTCCATGGTGCATTGCTTGTTTTGAAACTTGTAACGTGGCTGAGACATGCCCTGAGACACACCTGGGCAGACTCCCTCCACGCGTCTTCAGGGCGTCTCACGCCTGGGTTTGGGGTACTTACTGGGACTGATAGAAACTGGGGTCGACCTGTCCAGAGACACACAGGCTTTGGTGGCTTCTCCACGAGACCTGGGGTGTGTGTGTGTGTCTCCACACAGCAGGGACAGTGGTTAAGTGCACCCTGACTTTAGTGTCACTCAGACCTGGCTTCAGATCATGAAAATTTGATTTCTGGCTTTACTGGTCTACTTACTGGCCATGGGTCACGCTCCCTAATCTCTAAACCTCATCTGTTGTTGCTGAGTCTCTGAGTCAGTCCAACTCTTTGCGGCCCCATGGACTGTAGCCTGCCAGGCTCCTCTGTCCATGGTATTCTTTAGGCAAGAATACTGGAGTGGGTTGCCGTTTCCTTCTCCAGGGAATCTTCGTGGCCCAGGGATCAAACTCATGTCTCTTGCATTAGCAGGCAAGTTCTTTACCATTGAGCCACCAGGGAAGCCCTCATTTGTTAGGCAGAGATAAGTGTTCTACCTTCTCTTACAGGCATTGATGAATGTCAGATGCTTCAGTAAAGTACTGGGACCGCTAGCAGCTTATCGCATCAGCTCTTTGCCTCCCCTTTCCTAAACCCAGGCAGCCCTCCCCTACTTGTTTTAACAGCACAGCACAGGCCTTAGACAAATCCCACTATGGTCCGGCAGAGAACAGACTTCTTTGTGCAGCGGGGTTTAGCTGTTTTAGACTAAGATCCACCCTGCTAACTAACCATGATTTAACTTTGGTACTTGGTAAAGATTTGAGAGTTTTTAGTCCCAAAATAGCCATTTCATAAACTACCTTCTGGGCAGGTGCCCGATCCATTCGCTGGTGCATGTTCACTGGAGTGATGGTTTATGTCCCAGATTCTGGCATGTGCCTCATGTGTGGGACCTAGAGCCTAGGATGTCCCAGCTGTGCTTGCAGTTGGAGCTTGTGTCTTGGGTGCATTGCAGGCCTGGTGCAAAGCCAGCCACAGTGCTTCCTTTGGCAGCTTAGTATCTGACTGAGAGGGGATCGCAGTGGGGGAACCCTGCTAATGATTAGTCATATAATCATCGTAGCCCTGTTTTATTGAGTGCTCTCTTGCGTCTAGTCGCTTGCCAAAGCTCATGTCATTAAGTTTTCACAATAGTCCAATGATGTGGATACCAATTTTACAGATGAGAAAACTGAGGTGTGGAGAGAGGCCATGCAACTTGGCCAAGGTCACTTCTGGGAATCAGCGGCATGAAAATTCAAGCCAAGTCTTTTGACCCTGAAGGCTATGGTACACTCCATCACTGCTCACAGTGATTCTAGAATGTTGACTCTGGTTAAATAACTTGCCCAAGATCACACAGCTGGTAAATGGCAGAGTTGGGCTGCTAGCAGGCCTGCCGTTACTCACTCTGCTCTGGTGCCTCTGTCCACCCCAGGCACTGTGCCAGAGCCCTGGATGCCCAGGGAGATGGGGAAGTGACTGAAGCACCCGGTTCCCGGGCCCCAGATTAAATAGGAGGCTCACTTCCCACTCCTGGTATTTGTTTATTTCACAAATTAAATTATAACTCTACTAAGGGAAATGATTAACTAAAGAAAAGTTGTCAGTTGTGCTACCAGAAGGTTTCGTTTTTCTCTGTTCTTTCTCGGTTCTTAACTCTGTTTACATAATTGTTCCACTTCTTTATTTAATGTTAAACTCATGATTCTGCTTTTTATCGCTGCATACTGTTGCGTGAAATCGATATAATTCACTTGATCACACACATCTTTCTGCCAATGGCTTTTTTATTTTGGGATTGCTTCTATTAGTGTAAATTCCAGAAGAAGTAGAATTATTAATGAATTGAGATACATTTATTATCATATAACTTTTCCAGAGTCATTTAGATAGCCACCAGAGAAGTATCTTCTTCTGTTGTTTAACCTCACTAGCATTTGGTTTTATATCTTTTTTAAAAAATGTTTCGCTATCTTAGTAAGTAGCACCCCCCATCTTTTAAATGTATATTCTTAAACCAGGGAGACCAGGTTTTTGGGGTTGTTTTGTTTTTTGTTTTTAATTGGCTGTACTGGTCTTGCGGGCTTTCTCCAGTTGGGATCCGGAGTGGAGATTACTCTCTGGTTGTGGTGCGGTGGTTTCTCTGGTTGCGGAGCATGGGCTCTAGGGCATGCGGCTGCAGTAGTTGTGACTCACTAGCTTAGTTGCCTTGAGGCATGTGGAATCTTCCCGGACAAGGGATCAAAAACCCACGTCCCCTGACTTGGCAGGGGGATTCTTAACCACTGGATCACCAGGGAACTCCAAGACTAGTAGTTTTCATATTGGTTCCCTAATTTAGGTAGTGTAGAAATAACTCTTTGGCATGTTTGATGGTGTATATTTTCCCCAGTCTACTTCCCCCCACCTTTTAGTTGTACTTTTCATTTTTTTAGATTTTTCCTTTGAAGAATTTCAAACATATACAAAAGTAGAGAGAGTAGTATAACGAAGTCCCATCACTTAGTTCCAACAGTTGTCACCTCATGCCTAATCTTGTCTCATCTGTACTCTAGTGCAGATATTCCCTCCTTTGTTATTTTGAAGCAAATCCCAAGTAAAATACTTAATCCATGATAATCTCAGTATCTCTAAAAAGATACAGACTTTAAAAGAAAAACAACCACATGACTTCCCTGGTGGTCCACTAGCAGAGTTCACCTGCCAATGCAGCGGACCTGGGTTCCGTCCCTGGTCTGGGAAGACTCCACGTGCAGCGGGTAAACTCAGCCTGTGCGCCACAACTACTGAGGCTGCGCCCTCAAGCCTGTGCTCTGCAACGAGAAGCCCACGCACTGCAAATAGAGTTGCCCTCTGCTTGCCGCAACTAGAGAAAGTCCATGTGTAGCAAGGAAGATCCAACACAGCCAAAAAAAAAGTTAATTAAAAAACACACATAGTTTTTCTTTCCCTTTTTTTTAAAATTATATATAATTATTTGGCTGTGCTGTGCCCCAGTTGTAGCACCGGAGGTCTTCAGTCTTTGTTGTAGCATGCAGACTCTTAGTTGTGGCATGTGGAGCCTAGTTTCCTGATGGGGATCGAACCTGGGCCCCCTGGAGTCTTAGCCACATGGACCACAAGGGAAGTCCCTACTTTTAAAAAATTTAGTCAGACCTGTTGAATTTGTTTTTATTTTCTGTTACAAAAGAAGGATTGTTCTCAAAAGTTAGGCAGAGACTTAGAGAAGGGGTGAAGGGTCAGCTTTGGTACTGACGGAATCCAGAGTCTGAGGAGAGACCCTCCTGTCTGGAGTGAGCCCTGTGGGTCTGGTATGGAAGGTAAGGGTGGGCCTCTCACCTGGCTCTTCGCTCTTTGCAGGCTCATCCGTCACCATGAAGCCGCTGCGCCCAGCCCTCCCCAGCTACTTCCTGCTGACCCTGCTCATCATGCGGACAGCTGCTTCTGAGGCTCGTGCTGTGTCCACAGGGACCACCCTCAGCGCAGCCTCTTTTCTGCAAAACCTCATGCATCGCTACGGGGAGGGTGACAGCCTTACCCTTCATCAGCTGAAGGCCCTGCTCAACCACCTGGACGTGGGAGTAGGCCGGAGCAACATCTCCCAGCCCGTGCAGGGCCCGAGGAACCTCTCGACGGTAAGGCCCTCAGCTCCGCCCGGCACCAACTCTACCCGTTCGAGGTTCACAGTCTAGGTGGGGGCCAGGTGAGCCTTGATGACAGAACAGAGGAGCCACTTCTTGCCTTGCAGGCTGGGTCAGCTGGTCTGAGACTCCAGCTGCACATCACAACCTTCTCCATGGGTGCGTTGAAGCCCTTAGCCCAGGACAGCCATGCAATAGAGGCTGCCTGCCGTCCAGACCCTGCTGCAGAACTGTACTGGGAACTCCTGGAACTGCTGCTAGGCTGGGGCTCCCGGGTCAGCTTGTGTTTCTAATGGAGTTTTTGCAAAGGCCTTTGCGCATCATCCTGGGTGAGCCTCAGAGTACCTCCAGGGGCAGGTGGCAGATCTTCATCATGTCCTCTGTACAGTGAGATGGACTTCCGTGCTGACTTAGACAGTAAAGAATCAGCCTGCCAATGCAGGAGATGCAGGTTCAATCCCTGGGTTGGGACAATCCCCTGGAGAAGGAAATGGCAACCCACTCCAGTATTCTTGCGTGGAAAATCCCGTGGACAGAAGAGCCTGGCGGGATACAGTCCATGGGGTTGCAAAGAGTCAGACATGACTGAGTAACTAAGCAACAACAATATACTGGGATACTGAGGGACCCACGGCCAGTGCCGCAGGGACCGGGATTAAGACTCGGGTGTTTTGGCTTCTGATTCTCTCTTCTGTCTCCCGTGTCATCTTGGCCAATCAGTCTGAGGCCCTGTGGCGGCCAAGTGTAAGTCACCCGCGATGTCTTTATGCATCTGCCTGTGCTGAGTGTTGTGAGAAAGGCAGAGAAAATGAGTCATCTTCAGGGAGTGTACCGTTCAGATGGGGAGCTCAGCCAACCAAGGACAGAGTTAGCTGATACTCGGATGAAGTGTTAAGATGCTGTGGGTTGGCGAGTCATTTCTGGATTCAGAAACGACAGGAGCGGGTGAGTATGGGCTCACTGGTCAAGGAAGCTTTGTGGGTGGGGCATCCTGGAGCTTCTTGAAGGAGAGCAGAGTTCAGAGAGGCCAAGTGGCCAGAAGTGGGGGACCGTGTGGCATGGATGTGGGACCATGGGGGCGTGGCACGCCTCTGAGTCAGAGGAGCCTGCCCTGGGCTGGGGCTCACGCAGCCTGACCCCAGCGGCCTTCCGGTGCAGCACAAGGATACTAGGGGTCACCACGTCCAGCCCCCAGCTTTGTAGGCCCAGGAAACCCTCCTTCACCAGCCCTCCCAGAGCTGACTAGCTCATTAGACACAGACCCACGTAAAACCACACTCAGTGAAAGACTGACGTATGAATGTCTAATTAGAAGTGAAATGGCAGTGTTTCAGGGGAATGGTATGTGAGAACCACTTACCTGATGCCTCCCAGGGAACTGAGAGCCCAAGTCCACTGGGCAGCCCATGCCTCTCCCTGGCAGACCCTAAATCTTCAGGTACCCCTCCATCCCTCCCCAGTCTCTGCCAGCACATTCTGCAGGCTGCGGGCATTACTGCACATGGCCCAGGAGACCCGCTTCCCCGTAGACACCTGTGCTCAGTGGCTCTGGAGAAGCATCTGAAATCTGCATTTTACTGTAACAGCTCCCGGAACGGTTGTGATGTGGAGCCAGATTTAGAATCTGGGAGAAACTGCATCTTCAGGCATGCACGCAGAGGCACATTTTCCAGCAGCCACACCCTGGTCATAATGATTAGAATTCAGTTGTTTCCAGAACTTCTGGGTAGCCATTCTTAGATGGGCGTGTGGAAGGCATGTCTGGGTGGCCGATCTCTTAAGATTACTTATCAGTGTTTTAAGTTTAGGGACTACTTTGCTCTCATCCTTGGAAATTAGCCTGCAGATTCCATGAAAGTTAGCCAGGTCCATCTTCTGTTCTTCGTCCTGGAGGGCTCCTCCGGGGCAAGGTGTGACCTTGGGTCCTAAGAAGCTTTCTGCCCCTCTCTCTTGGTTTCAGTGCTTCAGTTCTGGAGAACTCTTTGCTGCCCACAACCTCAGTCACCAGTCGCAGATCGGGGAGCGTGAGTTCCAGGAGTTCTGCCCCACCATCCTCCAGCAGCTGGACTCCAGGGCCTGCTCCTCCGAGAACCAGGAGAATGAGGAAAACGAGCAGACGGAAGAGGGGAGGCCCAGCTCGGTGGAAGGTGAGCCGGGATGGGGAGGCAAGCAGGTGTCCATGCTTGTCAGCCCAGGGACTGCCGGGCCGATCAGATAGAGTGGCTCGCTGAATGATTAACCAGTTATCCTCCTCTTATCATCGTCAGGAGGGGTGAACTGGAGTAATGTATAAACTGATATCTCCCATGCTCATGAGACCAGTCCAGCACATCACCAGGCTGGGCAGTGTGGCTGGTGAGCAGTCAGTGTGAAACTTTTGGACCACTTTTCCATTTTGGTTTTCATTAAACTACCAGGGGGCCAATGCCTTGGTTTTTTGAGTTTAGCATTTAAGGCCTTTCACAGACTGCCCTCGTCCCACTTCATCCACCTGCCCGCCTCCTCTGCCTGGACCTCTGCCCCAGCCACAGTGGTTCACGTGTGTGCACGTGGCTCCCTTGGGCCTGGATCGAGCTCCTGCAATCCTGTCCTGCTGGTATGAGCTGCTGGCATTTGGTACCTGGCACATGCCACCTGTGTCCTGCCCCACGTCATTATTTAACTCCTGTATAGTCTTTAGCCTTTCATGGGTTCACCTGCCCCTCCATCTGAAAGGTAAGCTGCTTTAGATAGCAACTTTGGTGTATGTTTTCAGGCTTCTTCACAGCACCCAGCAAGAGATACTCGGCAAGCATTTACTGATGGGCTGGCGGAACTCTGTCTGCCCTGGTTGCGGCTGAGTTCAGAGTGGGGGGTTGCACGCACCCCCAGCAGCAAGAGCACCCCCGCCCGCGGTAATGGCGGCCCTCGTCTGTTCTTGTTCCTCCACAGTGTGGGGCTTTGGCTTTCTCAGTGTCTCACTGATTAACCTGGCCTCTCTCCTGGGAGTCCTCGTCCTGCCCTGCACAGAGAGAGCGTTTTTCAGCCGCGTGCTCACTTACTTCATCGCCCTGTCCATTGGAACGCTGCTGTCTAACGCACTCTTCCAGCTCATCCCAGAGGTGCAGTAGAACGGAAGCGTGCGCGTCCTCTCTCCCCGGGGCATCCCTGCCCCAGCCTGTGCTCCAAGGCCCCTGACAGCCGCCACCCGAAACACTGACGTCTTCTTCTAGTCAAGGGACCCCAGTGACTTCTGCCTCTGAATCTCCAGGGCCTCCTGTCACTCCCGGGGCACCCAGGTCGGCCTCTGGCCTCTTCAGGGGTGGTCAGATGCAAGGTTGTTAGCACTCACCCCCGTCACCCCCACCCACCATCACCACGCTGGGGGTCCGTCAGCCTCCTTCCCCTTCCCCAGTCAGCGCCTTTCCGAAGCCCTGTTGGCAGGGCTTGAAAGGAAGGTGGCGGTGGTGGCTGCCCCTACCCTTGGTCCGCCTGACCGCCTGCCGTTCTAAATAGAGGCCCTGGCCGTACTCCGGTGTGGCCACCAAGAGACGATCCACCTGGGGTGCGGTGGAAGGAAAGAGGCTACCAATGGAAGAGCAGAGCTGGCCTAAAAAGAGCCTTTTCAAAGCAGGCCCTAATCCACACAGCGTGGACTCTGCTGGCGGCTCAGTGGTAAAGAAGCCACCTGCCAGTGCAGAAGTCACAGGTTTGATTGCGGGGTCGGGAAGATCCCCTGGAGGGGGAAATGGCAACCCACTCCAGTGTTCTTGCCTGGGAAACCCCATAGACAGAGGAACCTGGTAGGCCGCAGTCCATGGGGTTGCAAAAGAGTCAGACACTACTTATGACTAAACAAAAACCATCTGCAGGATACAAGGCCAAACATAGAATCCAGACTCTGAAACAAAAACAAGTGAAAGGGACTGCAGCCCTTCACACCTTGCATCTGGACTTCTTCCTGATAGGAGTGACTTCCTGGCGCCCTGACTTGACTGTTTTGAAATGTTCGTTAATTTTGTTCTTTAATTGTAACCATTGAAGAGCTTAAAAAAAAAAAGGCCCAAGGTGACAGTCTGCCGGCGTGTCAACTCAGGCAAGGCCGCGCAGCGGGGCAGTGGTGACGTGTGTTGGCTTTGCCTTCCACAGGCAGCTGCCCAGCTTTCCCAATCAGAAGACTTCATGGGGACTTCCTGGTGGTCCAGTGGCTAAGACTCCGAGCTCCCAACACAGGGGGCCTGGATTCAGTTCCTGGTTATGGAACTAGATCCCATATGCTGTACTAGCAACCAAAAAAGAAAAAAAAAGACTTGTGGGATGCCCAGCCTTGCCTTACCTCTTCCTGCTTCATGATAAGAGAAGAAATTTGGTTTAAGGTGAACCATCTCGATGCTATGTCAGAATTGCACATGAATCTAGCAAGTACTTCTCAGGGCAGGCCTCATCTTGGGCTATTTTTTTTTCCCAGCTCTGGAAATTGAATTTATTAATTTTTTTTTCAAGATCAGAAATGAAATGCTGTGTTGCCTGTTGAATAGGAATACAATAATGGTGCATACTCCGCCCCTGGACTCACAGGGGAGGCCACGTCCTGGCTCGGTTTCGTCCTGCCTGGAGTATGTCACCCTGAGAAATGGAAGAGGAAATATTTTTTGGCGGGGTGATCTTGGAAGTCTGTTCTCTACGCTGCAGCCCTCTCAAAGCAAATGGAAACAAACAAAACCTGAGGGACAACCTCTGGTTGTCTAGTGGTTAGGGCTCCGGGCTTTCACTGCTGTGGCCTGGGTTCAGTCCCCTGTTGGGGAACTAAGATCCCACAAACTATGCAGCCAAAAGAAAAAGCAAACACAAAAAACATAGAGGGAAAAAAATGGCAAGAGAACCTGGGCTGCTGAGAGCGTGAATTCTCTGGGCATCGGGCCTTGTTTACCCTTTCTGCCCTGCACTTCTGACCTGGTTGCGCCCTGTGCAGTGCAGACCAGCTGCGAGGAGCGTCCACGTGTCTGCAGTGTGGGGCGGATGTGCAAACACGCACGGCACAACGGTCTCTTCCCGGGCTCCTGTTTCCTCACTCAGATAGCCCTCGCGTCCAAAGTCTGCCAGGCCTGGGGACACTTGGGCTAAGACCGCAGCTGCCCCGCCATGCACAGCAGCAGGCAGTTGGCCTCGGCCACCAGGCAACAGGGGCAGGAGAGAGACAGCGTTCCAAGGCCACCTCAAGCTCCTCCCCCATTTCTCCTGAACTTGATTGAAGAAAATTTCATCAGACTTGAATCACTAATAAATGTTCTGTTTCTCTCTCCCTCCCTGCTTGTCCCTCTGATTCTTCTCTTTTGTCTCCTTTGTTAATATCTGTCAACCAAACCCCTCCTGACTGCTCCCTCCCCGACCACCACCACCTGCCTTCCCCCAATGGTGGCTGCCATGCCCTGGGGCGTTGGCCCTTGCCCCTGTCCTGGGTGGGGCTGGCTCCCCTCATCCATGGCAGTGTGGGGGTACGGTCTCCTCTGCGTGACCGTCATCTCCCTCTGCTCCCTCCTGGGGGCCAGCGTTGTGCCCTTCATGAAGAAGACTTTTTACAAGAGGCTCCTGCTCTACTTCATAGCCCTGGCGATTGGAACCCTCTACTCCAACGCCCTCTTCCAACTCATCCCTGAGGTATGGCGAGCCAGGGCCCTCTCGCGAGCACGCCGCCTCCTGGGGACTGCGGGGTGCAGTGGGAGGGACCCCCCATCTCCATTCATGGTGTAGTGAGGAGGTCTCTCCTTTTGGAAAGCGAAGATGGGGCGCAGACACAAGCCGGGAGGGGCAGTTTGAGGCAGTGTGAGCAGGGAGTAGGTCTGAGAGCTGGTGCAGATCCCAGCTCCGCTTGTGCACTAGGGCAAGTCACCTAACCCCTCTATGCTGCAGTTTCCTCATGCAGAAAAGGGGAAAATAATGGGCTGGACCTCAGGATGAGCTCATGAGGCTCCTATGAGTTCATGTTCATAAATCACCTGGTGCTCGCTACCTACCAGGTGAAGAGACATAGTGTAGCTAGGTCACATGATGGCCCCCAATTTGGAGCTTTGGGCACCAAAACCAGAATCAGTAGGTCTCAGTGAAAAAAAATTAGTTCTCCTTCAGTAGGGCATAAACTTCTAAAGACCCTCTGTCTTTTGCACCAGAAAGTAAGCTGAACCCAGCAATCTGGCCTCACACGTGTTGAAGGCCCCGTTGCCCCTTCACCTGGGCTAACCAGGACACCCTCCGTGGCAGAGGAGGAGCACTGTGTTTGTAAGGTTTAGCAGGGCCAGGAAGGAGTCCCTGATGCCGTGTGGTCTCCTGGTAGACCCGCTGATGCAGGAAGCCAGCATGAGGTGCTTCACTGCGGGTGGTCTGACAGGCCCGGACCCGCCAGAGGTGAAGCAGAAGGATGGCGCCCTGCGCTGCTTGTAGCACTCCGTTTTCCACGCTGTGGTTTTGTGTCTCCTGAGTTGGTCCTCAGATCGCTTCTGTGATGTGTAGGAAACAAGGGCTGTTTGACCTGTTTAGCAAATGCAGAGCCCGGCCTGCACAAGAGCTCATGTCCTGGTTCCTTTAGTGGAGAACTGTTAGTTGCCTGTGTCCACTCCTCTTTTCCTTAAGATGGTTTGACTCTCTTGGAAGGTTGGCCTGAATGAGTCATTTCTATTCTAGAACTTGACCTTTAATGTCTCTTAGAAAACTACACTGGGATTAGAGACTGCATTTTGTCTCTTTAAAAGAGAAAAGAAAAAAAAAACACTTAGTTTCTAAGCAGCCCAGAGTCCCTGGTGCTGATGGCCCCTTTTATCTGGGGCCCATCCATGAGATGCTGGTGTTTGCTGGTGAGGCCCATTTTCTATCAGAAAACTGAGGAGCAGGTCAGCAGACACTTTCTCAAGTTCCTCGCTGCCGCACACAAGTTAGGAGCTTCACTGGGAATGGTATTCTCCTAACTTCCACTCCTGTCTGCTTTCCCAAGGATTTTTTTTTTTCCCTAAGTGAAGTTTCAAGAACCCAAAACAAACTTCCCCAGATTGATACATGCAGTAATACTGTCTGCCCCCTTGGCTTTGTGGTCACTGGGAGGTCTGCGGTCAGAAAGATGCTGCAATTCTTACTGTTCCACCCGGGAAAGGATTTCCCATTTTAGAAAGTTTAATTACACCATCTCCCTGTGTGTTTACATGCAGGTCATCCAGGGAGACTCGATAACGACAAAAATAAACACAAGTGTCTCCTTAAATACGGAATTTGCCGGCAGAGTCTGCCCTTATTACAAAGCACCAGGAGAAAGTAAAGACAGGGTTGTTAAAAGTTCGGCAGCCTTGTCCGAGCCTGTTCTTCCTGAAAGTAAAATTCGAAGGACGATGTGATGTCTTTTGCATCAGAAAATCAGCTAGAGAGAACCCAGCAGGTCTGGTGGCATGACATGAGAAAAACATCAAGGGTTAGATTTTGTTGGAAAAAAGGTGAGGTAGATGGCAGAGTTGTCCCAGTCTCTTCCTTTCCTGGAGTCAAGGAGATGGTGAAAGAGAGGAGAGGGGACCAGTGAAACTCAACTCACTTTGTTTTCCTGGGTCCACAGGCTTTCGGCTTCAACCCCATGGAAGACTATTATGTCTCCAAGTCTGCAGTGGTGTTCGGGGGCTTTTATCTCTTCTTTTTCACAGAGAAGATCTTGAAGATGCTCCTTAAACAGAAAAACGAGGTGAGGCCTAATTGTTGGTAAAGGAAGTGCCTCTCGGGAGAGCATCCGTCTCAGAAATGTGTCCCAGGCGTGCTGTTGACCTCAGTGCTGATCAGTGAGCTTACCTGGGTCCTCCCACCGTGGGCTCAAACCCACAGACTTCCTAAGTAGATAAACCCGCCTCCCCTCGGAAAGGGGACAGCAGGGGATAAGGGCGAACCCGAAACCAGGTCTGGCCTCTGTGCCTCCTCCCAGGCAGTGACTTGCCCTCTTTATCTTATTCTAGATTATTTCCTTAACAGGTTTTTCAGCCTTTGAGATGTAGGAAGGGCACCGTATATGAAGTAGTCTGCAAGGAAATGAGACCGGTTTTTGTGGCGTAGTTCCCAAAGTCACGTTTGGTGCCTGGCTCCTAGTTTTCCCCTAAGCAGTTGATGAATGGGATACAGTCAGCCGTTGCGAGGAGCCTCTCTAAGCACCTGTGCTGTGCCTCCTGCCAGGAATGAGCACTGGCCCCTCGGTCACTGCTCTGAGATCCGCCCCATGCCAGCCCCACGCCCCACCCCGCCCCTTTCGGCTTTCTCCATTACCTTGCCCTCGGCCTCTGTCTCTCCATTGCCTGCTCGTGGTCTCCCGGACGGTGGGAGTGAGGTCCTTCCGATGCTCGTGGCACCTGCTGGGTGGGTGGTTTTGGTGAGCGTTGCCCTGGCTTGACCCCCTCTGCGCGGTGCCGCCAGCATCATCACGGACACAGCCACTACACCTCTGAGACGCTCCCCTCCCAGAAGGACCAGGAAGAGGGTGTGACAGAGAAGCTGCAGAACGGGGATCTGGACCACATGATTCCTCAGCACTGCAGCGGGGAGCTGGACGGGAAGACCTCCGTGGTGGACGAGAAGGTCATCGTGGGCTCCCTGTCCGTCCAGGTCAGTGGGCCGCCCTCCGCTGGGGGATGCGGGTTGGGGTTGGGAGGTGGGAGGGGCTTGAACGGTAACAGCCTTGATGACTCGGGCCTGCCCTGAAGGTCTGCCGTCCACCCTTTGACCTGGGGGCCTTGGGGTCGGGCTTCCCGGCAGGACCTGCAGGCTTCCCAGAGCGCCTGCCACTGGCTGAAAGGCGTGCGCTACTCAGACATCGGCACGCTGGCCTGGATGATCACCCTGAGTGACGGCCTCCACAACTTCATCGACGGCCTGGCTATCGGCGCCTCCTTCACTGTGTCCGTCTTCCAGGGAATCAGCACCTCAGTGGCCATCCTGTGTGAGGAGTTCCCGCATGAGCTTGGTAGGTGCCTGGGCACTGCCCCCACCCCAGCCTGGTCCACTGTGCTGTCTCCCCCCCTGCCCTTCGGAACACAGACCATCTTCAGTGGACACATTCTTTGTGCTATGTGAAATCAAACCACTGATTCTCAACAGCCAAATCAATCACTGAAAATCGATCATTGGATAAGGACATCCTTGGCAGTCCAGTGATTAAGACTCTGCACTTCCACTGTGGGGGGCACAGGTTTGACCCCTGGTCAGGGAACTAAGATAATGCGTGTCACACACAGTTTGGCCAAAAACACCCAGAAAGTTCATCGTTGGAAATGTTGGAGTTTTTACCAGCATGTTTGTGGCTCAGTTTCTTCACTTCTACACTGGGATTAATAGTGGTACCTGTCTCGTTGACTCATCGTGAGAAACATGGGGGGAAAAATAGTGAAAAGGACTTATGGCGTGCCATTCACTAGACTTAAGTTTTCAGTATTGGTTATCTCTTACATCCTATTAATCTTCCAAAGGCTGAGCTATATGTTAGAGGTCTGGTGGGTAGAAGAAAGTGATGAGCCGGTTGGAAATTCCTTGGTTTTATCAGAGGGAGAGAGTAAAAAGCCAAGACTCTTTTGAGGCTCAGATATTCAAGGTCATATCCCAGCTTTGCCATTTATTGGCTTGTCAATTTGGGCAAATGACTTAACATCTGTCCATCTCGATTTTGTTTCCTAAAAACACCATGCATTACAGTTTTGAGGAAGGAAGCTCCTTCTATTTCACCATCAATCAAAAGAGAAGTGAGGCCATTGTAGGTGGTTTTCTGTCTTGAGAATCCTGTGCACTGTGTTCAGCCTCCAGGCTGGACGCGCATGGTCAGCCTCATAGATGCAAGCTTGCAGGCATCCTTGGTGTGGAGGTCAAGGGGGCCTTAGTCTGTCATTATGAGCTGTAGTCTGGGGCTGTCAGGATTTTCACCCAGACTCCATCCAACATTTAGGCAGCCTGTCCTCATCAAGTTGTGTGTCCCGAAACCTGATATGACTCTTGTGCCCACACCCTCCCCTCTCATCCTCCCCACTGCAGGAGACTTCGTCATCCTTCTCAATGCCGGCATGAGTCTTCAGCAGGCTCTCTTTTTCAACTTCCTCTCTGCCTGCTGCTGTTACGTGGGCCTGGGCTTCGGCATCTTAGCCGGCAGCCACTTCTCTGCCAACTGGATCTTTGCACTGGCTGGAGGAATGTTCTTATATATTTCACTGGCTGATATGGTAAGTCTTCCATAGTTTTAATGCCTTGTAGGCAAAACTGGATCAGGTTACTAATTTAAGTTCATTGAGTGGGATGACAGCTAAGGTGCATTAGTTACTTTGTTTTTAATAACAACTTTATCAACGAATCAGTTCATGTGTGTGCAGGTGCTAAGTCAGCTTCAGTCCTATCCAACTCTTTGCAGTCCTGTGGGCTGGTAGCCTGCCAGGCTCCTCTGTCTGTGGGATTCTCCAGGCAAGAATACTGGAGTGGGTTGCCATGCCTTCCTCCAGGGGATCTTCCCGACCCAGGGATCAAACCCAGATCTCGCATGTCTCCTGCATTGGCGGGTGGATTCTCTACCACTCGGCCATGCTGCTGTTACGTGGGCCTGGGCTTCGGCATCTTAGCCGGCAGCCACTTCTCTGCCAACTGGATCTTTGCACTGGCTGGAGGAATGTTCTTATATATTTCACTGGCTGATATGGTAAGTCTTCCATAGTTTTAATGCCTTGTAGGCAAAACTGGATCAGGTTATTAATTTAAGTTCATTGAGTGGGATGACAGCTAAGGTGCATTAGTTACTTTGTTTTTAATAACAACTTTATCAACGAATCAGTTCATGTGTGTGCAGGTGCTAAGTCAGCTTCAGTCCTATCCAACTCTTTGCAGTCCTGTGGGCTGGTAGCCTGCCAGGCTCCTCTGTCTGTGGGATTCTCCAGGCAAGAATACTGGAGTGGGTTGCCATGCCTTCCTCCAGGGGATCTTCCCGACCCAGGGATCAAACCCAGATCTCGCATGTCTCCTGCATTGGCGGGTGGATTCTCTACCACTCGGCCATGTGGAAAGCCCAAATTTGTATACCACACCATTTACCTATTTAAAGTATACAGTGCCTTTTTAAAAGGGATATTAGATTTTTAAAGGATGAAAAGCCTATGTTCCTTAGGTACATGTCACTGAAGAAAATGATCTATCTCAGCTCCAGGGTCTTTACCTAAGTATCTTTTACATGTCCATAGATAAATAGAAAGGAGGCAAGAAGGGAAGGAAGGAAAGAAAATTACCCATAATTATTCTCCCTCAGAACACCACCACTTGGCTTTATTTCCTGTTTCTTCACAATGCATCGTGTTTGTTTTTAAACAACTAATCACACTGAACATACACTTCTGTATCCTAGTTTCTTTTTTCACTTAATACATCCTAGACATTTTTCTTGCTGCATATTCTTTAAAGGCATCCTTTTCAGGGAATTCCCTGTCAGTCCACTGGTTAGAGTGCCACACTTCCCACGTCAAGAGACGTGGGTATGATCCCTCTTTGGGGGACTAAGATCCAGCATGGCATGCCAAAACCAAACCAAAAAAGGCATCATCTCCACTGCTGGTATTATTTGGTGGGAGAGTGTACTTGGTCCAGAACAGGAATCACGGGCTCAAAAAGGCTACGTTAGTTTAAGGTTTTAATGTGTGTTGCCAAATTGCTTTCTAAAACAGCTTAACCTTCCTTTACATTATTAGCAGTGTCTGAAAGTATACATTGTACTGTGCCCACTAATGTCTGTTTGAGTTTGCTACTTTAATACTGATTTGTTGCAGCTTTTTCTCTAAGGAGGTTGATTTCTTTCCTTAAGGGCATGACATGTTCTTTGGCATGTTTGAATGCATTATTTTCTGTATCCTTGGAAAGTATTATTTTAGAAAAATCATTTGTTTGTTTATTTTTGGCTGCGCTGGGTCTTCACTGCTCCAAGCAGGCTTTCTCTAGCTGCGGCGAGCCGAGGCTACTCATCCTTGCAGTTCATGGGCTTCTGATTGCTTCACTTGTTGTGGAGCACAGGCTCTAGGGTTCACAGGCTCACTAGTTGTGAAGCACAGGCTTAGTTGCTCCAAGGCATGTGGGATCTTCCCCTACCAGGGGTGGAACCCATGTCCCCTGCACTGGGAGGCAGAGTCTTAACCATTAGACTATCAGGGAAGTCCTGAAAAGTAGTATTTTTGATGAGATGAGAGTACTGACCACCACGGTCCATCCTCAGCCAATGGATTAGGGTATTTTTTTGTTCAATCCTTGGGTCAGGAAGATCCCCTGGAGAAGGGAATGGCACCCCACTCCAGTGTTCTTGCCTGGGAAATCCCATGGACAGAGGAGCCTGCAGGGCTACAGTGCATGGGGTCACAGAGAGTCGCACATGACTGAGCATGCATGCCTTGCTAGCCAGCTGCAGGAGACCTTGACTCATTGCAATACTTAGCTCCGTTTTCTGGCCCCTTACACAGTTGCTCAGTTTCCCCAACAAGTGGCAGTTTTATCAGAGTGGTTATTTTCAACCAGTCGCTGAACACATCCAGGGTTACATATACGTTTAGTACTTTGTTTCACCTCCGTAGTTGTAAAGCAGTGGCAACCACCTTGGAGAAAGGTGATAATGTTTAAGTTCTAGAAGTTACTGCTATTGATTTTCTTTGTAAACCAATCCTATTTTTTTATATACCCTGGTGGTTTAGCAGTAAAAGAATCTGCCTGTTAATGCTGGAGACATGGGTTCAATCCCTGGGTCGGGAACATCCCCTGGAGAAGGAAATGGCAGCCCACTCCAGTATTCTTGCCTGGGAAATCCTACGGACATGGTGGGCTACACTCCATGGGATCACAGAGTCAGACATGCCTGAGTAACTGACATGCATGCGTCTTGATTAAATATTATATATAATAGCTATTATAATAATCATATACACTAATGATGTGTTATTTTCACATAAAAATATAATAATAATAAACATTGTAATGATTATTCGATAGTATATATAACCGAATTGTCCTGCACCTAAAGGACCTGCAAGAAGAAAGGAACTGCAGCTCTTGTGTTCTTCTCTTTTCTTTCCCAGTTCCCTGAGATGAACGAGGTCAGCCAAGAGGATGAACGCAAGGGCAGCACCTTGATCCCCTTTGTCATCCAGAACCTGGGCCTCTTGACCGGTTTTGGCATCATGCTAGTCCTCACCATGTACTCGGGACATATCCAGATCGGATAGGGCCCCACCAGGAGCCGGCGGGGTTGGCAGACCGTCCCCAGGCTGCCCGACCCCTGGCCTAAGGACGCCTCATCCAGGAAGCACTTTGGAAGAGGCGGTTCTATTAAAAACTGTGACACGGACTCTATTCCTACATTCAAATGTCAGCTGGTTTTGAAAATGCTCTGTCCAAGGAATAAGCTGCCCTGGAAACCAGCCTCTCGGTAGTGCCTCTGTCCCTTTCCTCTTCTCAACGCAGCTCGAAAGACAAGCCTAACTTTTCCCTCTGGTTACCTTGGCCACTTTCTCTCCCAACCAGCACTGAGACATTCTGAATCCTTGGCCAGGTGATGCAGAAAGAGAGCCAGGGCTCACAGCTTGGTGAGAAATAGTAGGAGGTGAGTCTACAGTTTGGGGCTCATAAAGTCTCAGTGTGTTTCCTGGGCCTCAGGGTGACCCATTTTTAAGTGAATTTGCCTTTTTTTTTACAGCAAAGGTACAAAGGACAGGAATCCCTCTTATATTTTCAGTCTGTTCGGTTGCCTGTTCTGTCAAAAAGTCAGAGCTGGGAACAGATGAGCAGGGCTGGAGGAGAGGCAAGGATCGCTGTGTATGGACGAGGGGCGTGTGTCTTGTCAGGACAGTCGCTTATCCCCACTGGGACCCTGGGCCAAAATCGGTTCTGCGCCTGGTGTTTCGTGGCTGTCCAGCTGAGCGGCCAGTAGTTTGTGTTGCCTGAACCTCCCCTCCTTTCAGATGAACACTGGCGGACACGGGAGGGCAGAGAAGAGAGATCTCTGAGAAACCCAGTGGCTTGCTACGATTCCCAGCCCGCAGCCCCCACCCCATCTCCTGAGAGACATGTCCACTGCCTCCCTGGCAGCACACTCTTAGGCACAGTGACGACACCCGTGTCGGAGGGGAGACCGCACACATCCACCTCCCTGGACAACAGATCCTCCTGCCAGGCGACGGGTTTCGACTTTCAGAACGGGAGTGCTGCTTGGGGTCTTCTTGACGAGGGTGAGCGGGGTGCAGGCAGCGTTTAGGACTTACTCCTGCCGCAGCTAACAGTACACTGATAGGCTGATAGCACACTAACAGTACACTGGCAGACTCTGAGCGGAGAGCGGAGCACCCTTGGTGTTCACAGAATAGGGGACCCAAGAGTTCCCGCGGCAACCAGCTGGGTCCCCCTTCCACCCTCACCCCACACCAGAGAGGGCGAAGCCTGTATGGGACTGAGTATGAATTATGCCAGTAACTCTTCAGAAAATGGGTTGATAGACTCGTGTGTGGGGGGGGGGGACCGTAGGTCACCTGCTTGCCCTGTGGAGCCCTCTCCGCAGAGCTCCAGCTGTGAGGGGAGCTAGTCTCCAGGTTCACTAGGTGAATTGCTGTATTATTATCATATTGATAACGTGAGATTCCTCAGCCACTCTGGGGAGCCGACCTCCGCAGAAGCCTTTCTCAGCGGTGCCCGCGGTCGCAGACCAGCCTGTGCGCGTGGCTGACCTGTGCTGGTCCATCGCCACCGCTCGAGCGCATTTCCGTTCTCACAGGAAAACTTTTCCACTCTACAGTAATTGAGAGCATCGACTCTGGTTTTTTTTCTTTCTTTCTTTTTTCCTTTGGGAAACATCCCTCAAACCAGGACTATTCTTGAACATGAGCAGGAAAACCATTGGTGATGCTTTACAAGTTTTTCTCATCTTGCCTGTTGATTTGGATAGGTTTGAGAATGGGCGGAAGGAGGAGGAAGACTCAGTTCTCAAGATTCTAGATGTACTGTCAGGACAGACTCCCTGGTAGGATTACGGTCCAGTTTTTACCAAAGAACCAATTCCTTGAATGTTGGAATCTAACTTTTTATACCGTCATTATTATTGTCACTGTTAACTGTTTTGAAACGAATCTTTGTCTCTTCTGTTTCATTTTTCTCACATTGCTTTCAAGAGCTAGCAAGAAATAACACTCAAACCTTAGGACCCTAGATGATTTTGCTTCCCTTAATTTACACGGATGTATTAACTTGATAATTTTAGCATTCCCTGTAGATCTGTCCTTCCTTACAGACACTGGTACTTGTGGAGTAGAATCCTAAGTAAGCATTAGTGGGTTTCTAGTTTTAGGAGAAGAGCCCAAAAATGTAACCTTGAGCAAATTAAAAAAATAAAATATGAGCAGTAGGGTGTTTTCCCTTCTCGTGCACATCCGTATGAAGAACTGACTTTCCTTTCATAGACACCTGCCTCAGAGGGGAGTTTTTTTCAAACTGTCATTGGTCCAGAGGCCAGTCCCAGTTGTAGCTTAGGAGGGGTAGAGACACTCAAATTGTGCAACGGATTACCTGTTGCCATGGCAACAGATTTGCCTCATAAATCAAAAATGTGGCAGTTTCTTTTTGAAGTGTTGGGTTTGCTGTTTCAAGCATTTGTACACAGAAGTCTGAGGAGTAGCAAGTTCTGAGGACTTATTTCACATCTGGCATTAGCATCTTCAGCCTGTCTCCCTTGTGGACCACCTTTCTCTAAGGATAACCAGAAAGGTATGTGTAACATGCAGGAGCCGTGACTCCAGAGGAGGGGTTCTGCTGCTTCTCACCCTCCCCCTGGCTTGCAGGTCTGCTGTCCTTGCCCCCAAGGGTTTTTGTGTCTAGTGTCAACTTAGGTCTCCCCTTCACTGGTCCTTCACCCTGGGTTTTAAAAAGAAAGCTTCTCTTTTATGACCTCCTAAGACCTGGTTTTAGTAAATCTTCTTCCACATGGTAATATGGAGATAGCAATATGTTGGAAATCTGCTTAAAAAGAAACAAAAGGTTGTCTGATTTTTGCAAAAGAGAGAGGTTAGCTTTTTATTATTCATATTTTATTTTACAGTTCTGCAATTCCATCACAGTATTTTTTTAAATGACTCAGGTGTTATGAAGATAAATTAGAAAATAAAATAAACTTAAGTTATGTGGACTGTAAATGTTTTTATTTGTAAGATTCTATAAATAAAGCTATATTCTGTAACTATTGAATCCCGAGTCATCTTTTGCAATAAGGTAGGTGTAATGGAGACTGTTGAACACAAGGTGGCGATGATGTCTCACTAACATGAAGCTTTCTTTTGCTGGCCCAGCTTACATTTGGAGAGGGGAGAAGGAAATGGCAACCCACTCCAGTATTCTTACCTGAAGAATCCCATGGACAGAGTAACCTGGTGGGCTACAGTCCACGGGGTTGCAAAGAGTCGGACACGACTGAGCAACTTCACTTTCACTTTCACTTTAGTTGGTAACGATTCCGCCTGCAATACAGGAGACCCTGGTTTGATTCCTGGGTCAGGAAGATCTGCTGGCAAAGGGATAGGCTACCCACTCCAGTATTCTCAGGCTTGCCTTGTGGCTCAGCTGGTAAAGAATCCGCCTGCAATGCAGGAGACCTGGGTTCAATCCCTGGGTTGGGAAGATCCCCTGGAGAAGGGAACGGCTGTCCACTCCAGTATTCTGGCCTAGAGAATTCCATGTATTGGGTCGCAAAGAGTCAGACATGATTGAGCGACTTTCACTTTCACTTTAGAAGGAACCTCAGATAGTGTAACAAGCTCACTTTAAAATGATTAACTTATCTTTTAATGGAACCAGGACTTTATCAGTGATGGACGGTGTCTCCTAAAAAGAACTTTCTGTCATACTGTTTTCACTCGTACAAATCCATGATTTGAAACTTGGAGAATATTTGTTGTTCAGTCGCTTAGTTGTGTCCGACTCTTGCGACCCCAGGGACTGCAGCATGCCAGGCTTCCCTGTCCTTCACTATCTCCTGGAGCTTGATCAAACTCATGTCCATTGAGTCAGTGATGCCATCCTACCATCTCATCTTCTGTCATCCCCTTCTCCTCCTACCTTCTGTTTTTCCAGCATCAGGGTCTTTTCTAACAACTCAGCTCTTTGAATCAGGTGGCCAAAGTATAAGAGTTTCAGCTTCAGCATCAGTCCTTCCAGTGAAGATTCAGGGTTGATTTCCTTTGGGATTGACTGGTTTGATCTCCTTGAAGTCCAAGGGACTCTCAAGAGTCTTCTCCAACACCATAGTTAAAAAGCATCAATTCTTCAGTGCTCTCAGCTTTATAGTCCAACTCTCACATCCATACGTGACTACTGGGAAAACCATAGCTTTGACTATACGGGCATTTGCCGGCAAAGTAATGTTTCTGCTTTTTAATACGCTGTCTACGTTTGTCATAACTTTTCTTCCAAGGAGCAAGCGTTTTTTAATTTCAAGGCTGCAGTCACCATCTGCAATAATTTTTGAGTCCAAGAAAATAAAGCCTGTCACTGTTTCCATTGTTTCCCCATCTATTAGCCATGAAGTGATGGGGCCGGATGCCATGATCTTAGTTTTTTGAATGTTGAGTTTTAAGCCAGCTTTTTCATTCTCCTCTTTCACCTCCATCAAGAGGCTTTTTAGTTCCTCTTTGCTTTCTGCCGTAAGGGTGGTGGTGTCTGCATATCTGAGTTTACTGATGTTTCTCCTGGCAATCTTGACTCCAACTTGTGCTTCATCCAGCCCAGCATTTCGCATGATGTATTCTTCATAGAAGTTAAATAAGCAGGGTGACACTATACAGCCTTGACATACTCCTTTTCCTATTTGGAACCAGACCATCGTTCCATGTCCATTCTAACTGTTGCTTCTTAACCTGCATACAGGTTTCACAGGAAGCAGGTAAGGTGGTCTGGTATTTCCATACCTTTAAGAATTTTCCAGTTTGTTGTGATCCACTCAAAACCTTTAGTGTAGTCAATGAAGCAGAAGAATATACTTGGTTCATTCAAACCATGTCTCCTGAATGTCTCACAGGGGAAAGTTATGTCATGAGATTTAAAATTCTAAATCTGCTCTTTCTCCAATTGATTCAAAAGAGCAGGGTTCTGTTATTTGTCTTCGACAACAAAAATGAACAGTAGGGTAAAAGAACTGATGCTAGGGACTTCCCTGGTAGTCCAGTGGTTAAGACTTTGCCTTCCAATGCAGGGGTTGCAGGTTCAATCCCTGGTCTGGTAGCTAAGATTCCACATGCCTGATGGCCAAAAAACGAAAACATAAAACAGAAATAATGTTGTAACAAATTGAATAAAGACTTGGGGAAAAAAAAGAATTGATGCTGTCTTATTACTACATAGAAATTCCCAAATGCCTGTTTCTTAGTCCTTCCTTTTTTTTTTTTAAACTCAAGAAAAATATATAAGTGGCTCCTATTGGAATTTTAAATCGCATTAAGTAGCTGTATTGGACTAGCATCTGAGGCAGTTTTCAAAATGATACTCACTCCATCCTCGGCTTGTGCCACCTCTGGAACACCTGCCCGGGTGGGACTGATGCCTCACTGATGCTTATCAGTGACTGGACTTGCATTGTGGTCGCTTGTTCTTTGTGCACCGACTTCCTTCTGGGCAGAGGCTCTACCTGGTTTCTCTCTGTGATTCCAGCACCTGCCACACAGTAAGAATGAATGAGAAGATGAAATGGAATGCCTGCAAGCTTTGTGTTGATAGAAGGGCTCCTTATCCACTGGCAGCAGTTCCTGTTGTGTTTTTCACTGCCTTTGGTGTTGGTTTTGCTAATTCTTTGTTTTCTGGTCCTTCTTTAGAAACAAAAGTTTGAGAGAGGTGAATTTGTGGCCAGTATAGAATAGAGGGGGCTTCTGTGATGGCTCAGTGAGTGGTAAAGAATCCACCTGCCAATGCAGGAGACAGGGATTTGATCCCTGGGTCAAGAAGATCCCCTGGAGAAGGAAATAGCAACCCACTCCAGTTTTCTTGACTGGGAAATCCCATGGACAGAGGAGCCTGGTGGGCTACAGTCCCTGGGATCGCAAAAGAGTCAGACACAGCTTAGTGATGAAACAACAACCTAGGATAGAGCCGAGCAAAGTAAACAGGTCACTAAGAAGATTAAAACTTTGATCTTAGCCATCTCTTTGTAATACTGTTAATCAACTAAGCCATTTAGGACATTTTTGATGGAAGGTGAATGCCCTTCTATCAAGTTGCTTCTGCACATTTGTCTCTACCATTCAGTAATGCTGATATCTGATTTGAAAAAAATGTGTCTTGAGAAATAATGACACCAAATGTTGACACAGGGTTTTTGATTTACTGGAAAACAAAATGCTCATCTCTTTTATTAAAGATTTTCACACTTCCAGAAAAACATCTATTTCTGCTTTATTGACTATGCCAAAGACTTTGACTGTGTGGATCACAATAAACTGTGGAAAATTCTGAAAGAGATGGGAGTACCAGACCACCTGACCTGCCTCTTAAGAAACCTGTTTGCAGGTCAGGAAGCAACAGTTGGAACTGGACATGGAACAACAGACTGGTTCCAAATAGGAAAAGGAGTATGTCAAGGCTGTATATTGTCACCCTGCTTATTTAACATGTGCAGAGTATATCATGAGANAGATTGAGGGCAGGAGGAGAAGGGGACGACAGAGGATGAGATGGTTGGATGGCATCGCTGACTCAATGGACATGAGTTTGGATAAACTCCGGGAGTTGGTGATGGACAGGGAGGCCTGGCGTGCTGTGGTTCATGGGGTTGCAAAGAGTCGGACACAACTGAGCGACTGAACTGAACTGAATGATCTAATGGGATATACCTGGACTTCTCAAGAATGACAGGTTTGAATCCCAGAGGAAGTGAATCCTTTCCATCCTTCTGAAATAAACTGAATTCCATTCTATTTAAATAGGGAAAAAAAAAGGTTGTTGGAAAAGATCCATAAGTCCGTATCAGCTCTCAGCTAAGTATGTTTAGAGCTGTCAGCCCCAAAATATTTTTCTCTACAACATCACAGTTCTTGCCAGATGTCTCTTCAAGGTTTGTTTTAAAAGAAGGAAGGGAGTTCACAGACTATGCTTCCTGTATAAGAACAATCTTTGACCCTGGCAGTGGGTGGGATTCTGAAATAGTGGCATCAATTATAGTTAAGGAGTAATCCGAAAGTGCTCTACTTCTGGCAATCAGAAGCCAAGAAGGAGTTCTTTCTCCCATTAGGTTCTGAATTTTTTTTCTCCATCTGTGGTTTGCTTATCTCCTGAGGTTGCCTAAGAATAAACTCAGGCAATAATCCACAGAGGTTTTTATAAGTATACACATTAAAAGAAAGCGATCAGGAAATTCCAAGGAGAAGCTCCTGAAAAGAAAATTTGTTTTCAAAATGTCCCATTTTTATGACTGGAAACAACATAAATGTGCATCCATCATAACATTCATACATAAGCATATCATAAAAATGTCACAAAAACATAACAAGTCTCCATACCTTTTAAGTGTTTTGTGGGTTTTTCTTTTGTTTTCTCTGCCATTTCCTGTGAGCCATGATCATTCCTTTTGTACATCTTTTACAGTTTTTTCCCCCCAAAGGGAGCCCAGAAACATGTGCTGAGTCTCTGAAACAAGGAATCTCAAATAACATATTGAAAAGAAATCTTTGATGAGGTGATTCTAAACGAAACGTGCTCTTAAAGCATATATCATCCTGTATTTGGCTGTGTGTGTGTGTGAAGTCGTTGAATAGGAGTGATGGGGTATTGCTATCACTGTCCGTGTAGGGGGCGGTAGGCAGACACCAGACCCGGAGTGAAAGGCTGTTCTGGCCCCAGCGTGGCGGCAGGGAGCCCATGGAAGGGACAGGGGAGATGTGTAAGGAAGGTGCACATCATTGAGACTACAGTCTAGGCCCACCCACTTAAAGCAAGAACTGAATAAAAAGGGACTTACCTAATGGGCTTCCCAGGTGACTGGCCCTAGTAGTAAAGAACCTGCCTACGAGTGGAAACAGTGGCTACTTTATTTTGGGGGGCTCCAAAATCACTGTAGATGGTGACTGCAGCCATGAAATTAAAAGACGCCTACTCTTTGGAAGGAAAGTTATGACCAAACTAGACAGTATATTAAAAAGCAGAGTCATTACTTTGCCAACAAAGGTCCAACTAGTCAAGGCTATGGTTTTTCTAGTAGTCATGTA